ATCTGATATGATTTTTATCAAATGATTATGAATTGAATTGAAAGTCCATTGTATGTTATATGGAGAGTCAAAGGTACAATTGGCATGCCATGAGGTGGAGTGATTATCTGTTCTGATTCTAATATATTGTGGTGTACCAGAGTGTACACTAGTATATATATTCTGATCTGAATGCACTTTGTGTGCATATTGTTATTTCCAATGTGATAGCACTGTGTGCTTATATGTTCCGATTCTGATGATGACACTGAGATCTGTATTGCGCTCACTCGTCTAATTCACGTACCTTATATTCTCTTAAAATATACTTTGGGTTATAAAAATGAAATACGAAAGTTCTGAAAAGTGTCAGATTTCAAAAGAATATGGACTGATTATTCTGTCTGATCTGATTTATTATGATTTTCTGAAAATCATCAGATGATTCTTTTTAGGTTTCTGATAAAGTTCAGCATGAGATATCCGATTTGAAATTCTGAAAGTTTGTGTATTTTATTTTAAATAAATTTATATATATTTTGATACTTTATTTATTTGTTCTCACCTTTAGTATTACTGTCTCACTAAGTTATACTTAACGTGTGATGATTTTCATGCGTAGGGTCTGATTTAGATACATACGTTTATTTTACGAGGAGCTTTCCAAACATCATGTGCATATAATCTATAATATCATTATCAATAAGATATCACTGAAGTTTCTTTTGACTAGTAGTGACATGTATAATTATGTCAGTAGTTTCTATTTATCGTATTTATTTTAAATAATTTGTAATAGTAAACTAGAACTATTTTAGTTTATTTTACTTAGTTTAGTTTTATCAGTGCCTATGCATGAAAATACTATATTACATTATTATGTTTTTAAAAAATTTCACGAAAAGACATGGTTTAGAAAAAAATTACTGATTAACATATGAATTTATTTTCCTGTGACAACGAAATAAATTATAGTTGAGATATGCTTTAAAAGATATTTTTAAAGTTAGAATAAGAGTATTTTCAAATGAAATAAATTTTTAGGCAATTTTAGTTTAGTAAATGTTTTAAGTTGATGTGACATCTTTAACTCGTATATCGAGACGTATACGGGTTAAGGGTGTTACAGGTCGTGGCCGGAAAGAGCGAAAACAGAGGGTTAAAGTTAGGATTTGGAGATTTTAGGAATTTTGTTGCATTTTTTAATTTAAGATAAATTATGATTTTTTATAAATATAATAATATTTTTAAAAAACAAATTTCAAAATTATCATAATATGACACATGTCACATAACCTTTAGAATTATGAGAGGATGTTATGGAGAAATATAACATCTAGTATTTAACTCTATGGATATGGAGTAGGTCTTAACCTTTAGATTTATTAGAGAACATTTTGAAGAGATGTAACATTTAGTATTTGACTCTATAAATACGATTTAATTATTTTTTTCAACTTAGTTAAATTTTTTCAAATACTTGCTCGATCATTTTTGCATTTGACAGATGAGTTTCATAGTATTTTTTTGCTGAAAGTATCAATATCTTTACAAAAAGTTCGATCTCTTTTTCAAAAGGATCAATCTATATGATCATAGCATCAATTAGACCAATCCATTGTTAAAAAAAGATATATATCTTCTCATGAAGGATCGATCTCTCATAAAAAATGATCGATCTCTTTTTTTAATGATAAATCTCTTGGATGACAACGATCAAATATTTAAAAAAAAAATCTCTTTTTCATAAAAGAATCGATCACTCGTGTATTAAATACTATGTATTTTTGTAGGTGATGACTCTATCGCACCCAAACAACTTCTATCGGCTAGAAGCCATAGAAAGTATATAAAAACAAGCTCAAAGCATCTCAACAACAAAGAATTTTATAGTACTTAATTATTGCATTTTCAATTATAAAACACTTATGAGTTTAATTGTTAATATTGTTCTAGTGTTATTAGAGTGATAATTTATTTGTGTGAATTCATTTTAAGATTTTTCTTTTCTATTTTTTAAATTTATAATTACTCATTAAGAAGGTGTGTAATTAGTGATTCGAGATGAAAGTTTTTGTAAGATTACACATTGTTTTTAAAATAATTAAATATAATGAATTTAAAAATTTCTAGTGTAGAGATTTTTTAATAAGCTAAGGTTATTACAAAGTACTATATGTTATAAAGTATTGTCAATCATTTGACAATGAACATTCAGTCACCCCTTGCATTTGTTGATGTTTAAACCCGTGACTTCTAAAAACAACACCGATTTTTTAACAACAATTTGAGGGTATGACATTATATCTTTATTTTATTGAAAATTCTAAGAAATTTAGAGTATTAAGGATAGTACAAAAGTTAATATTTGGCTCATCGAGAGATGAACATTTTTTAATGGGTGAAATTATATTAATAAATTTTAAGTTGATATTACTATTTTTTAGAATATATTTTTTATATAATTTAAGACTATTATAAAATAATATTTATTAAAAAATCTATATATACGATTACTTCAATATAAGTCTTTTAAATAAAATAGTATTTCCTTTTATTATTAAATCCACCCTTTTTCGTTTGTCAAACAAGGATGATACTTTTTTTTATCAATTCATTATAGGTTCAGAGTGGGCAATGTCCATCTGAAATCAATTTTTTTTATGTTAATTATACATTATATTGATGGTGTTTATCTTGAAATTTTATTTGTGGTGACTTCATACGATATTTTTTATTGTTAATATATATGTGTTGCCTTCGTAAATATTTATAGATTTGTTGTTGATTTAAGGGATAGTTATTTGCGTTTTACTTTCATTCGATTCTGACTTAGTCAATGAGAACTTTGGGAATTGTTGTTGGGGAAATTAGGATGATTTTTCTCACGGTGTTGTTGTGAATGAGCAGGTGGTACCAGTCAGAGGGAGAAGACAGAGAAAGGTCTCTTGAGGATCTTTACCTTGGGACTTCAAAGAAGCTTTCACTGTCCCGCAATGTCATATGCTCCGAGTGCAATGGGTGAGCTAAATCATTTTAATTTTTGCAACTCTTGGTAGTATTTTCATGCATGTAATTGTGTTATTCGTGGCAGCAAAGGCTCAAAATCGGGTGCTTCGATGCAGTGCCCTGGTTGCCAGGGTTCTGGTGTGAAGGTTTCCACCAGGCACCTCGGTCCTTCCATGATTCAGCAAATGCAACATCCTTGCAACGAATGCAAGGGTTCTGGGGAGACGATCAATGACAAGGGTCACTGCTCTCAGTGTAAGGGCGAGAAGGTCGTTCAGGAGAAGAAAGTGCTGGAAGTCATCGTAGAGAAATGTATGCAGAACGGACAGAAGATTACGTTCCCGGGCGAAGCCGACGAGGCGGTATGCTTTATGATTTAGTAGTGATGTGGTTTAGTGCATGTTGTTGGCTTGCAGCCTAATTGGTTGGTATTTGGTGTTGTGTTTTGCAGCCTGATACAATTATTGGGGACATAGTCTTTGTCCTACAGCAGAAGGACCATCCCAAATTCAATAGCAAGTGAGAAGACCTGTTTGTGGAGCACACATTGTCTCTAACTGAAGCTCTATGTGGCTTCCATTTTGTGGTTGCCCATCTCGATGGTCGACGACTTCTACTCAAGTCGAACCCCGGGAAGGTTGTTAAGCCTGGTAAGAACGTAACCATCTTGTTTAAATCAGATTATAGACTTATAGACTGAAGAAGAGAACCATCTCTTTTTCAGTTCTTTCATCTACATTATCAATCTTATTTCCTATGTTACTCCTCTTCCTTGCTTTCACAAAAAAATTATCGTCTAACCATCGTCTTTTCATCGATCATGACTTTTCGTTTAAATTAAAAAGGAATGAACAACTACCAGCTGCCGAAACAAACATAATCACATCAACAATGTTCATTTAATAAGGCTTTTTCTTTCTCATTGCTTGGTTATTAACTACTTTTTTTTTATCCCAGACTCCTTTAAGGCAATCAATGATGAAGGGATGCCCCTGTACCAGAGGCCACACTGATCAGCTTAAGGCACTTTAGGCCATCCTGCTGCCGAAACCGACTTCGAAATTGACTGATATGGAGCTAGATGAGTGTGAGGAAACCACACTGCATGATGTGAACATAGAAGGGGAGATGAGGAGGAGCAGCAGGTAGCACAGGAAGATGATGAAGATGAGGAAATGCATGGTGGTACGCAGAGGGTGCAATGTGCTCAACAGTGATGATAATGATGAAGATGAAACAACAAAATTGGACAGCTCATCTCCATATTAATACCAGACATTTTTACACAAAATGTCAGATTTCTCTACAGCCAAATTTGCTTAATCCTAAAATTAAAAAACATAACTTTTCATCAAATTTGCTTACTCCTAGTCAAATTGATCCAACAAAAAGAAAACAGGGGCAATGATAGAACAACAAATTTTAGATTGAATGAGTGAGAATTGTATTTACACAAGTTTTTAAGTAGCATATAAATTTAGTCCTGGTAGGTTGTGGACCTATCAGAGGTCGTATCAAGAGGTCCATGCTTTTCAAGGGATGTCAGACGTTTGAGGTCTTTCCTCTGGAGATGTTCTTTAGATGTTCTAACCATGAAGGGGGTACCACAGTTGTCCTCCATAACCGAGAGAATTCCATGAAATGGCTTGACCCGAGAGTTATTCGATGGAACGATATTGACATTTAGTAGGTTATATTTTGGAGCAGCATCACAATGATTGTTTCTTGAACGGCTTAGAAGCTTAAATGTATGACTCCTTGTGTAGAAATGTGATTCGACCCACACGGACATGTTGAGTATGGACCTCGTTGCTGGATTTGATGAAGAATGAGGAGATGGTTATTGAAAAACGGCGAAGCTCCATCACGAACCCTACTCGATTTTCAGGAGGTGCGACCGCACTCACACACCTCGATCTATCTCTACATGGATTTCTCTCCGCAATTCAAATATAAATACATGACACACAGAAAGAATAAATTCTTCATTATTGGCTATTGCAATCCGGTGCATCGCTCTACCAGATTGTTCAAGTCTTGTCAAACTCCATGAATGAAAAAATATGAAAATTTTGTACATCAGAATGCTCAAGATCACCAACTTAATCTCGAGGAATGTGTACCTTCTTCTGCAGAAATCGAAATACCTGAGGGACTGGAAATTCCGGGTTATTCTTAGATTTTAAACATAATCTTGCTACAACTAGAAGTTTCTTAAGCTCTTTAGAATCATAATTGTTCCCTAGGTCTGGATCGATCATCATGTCTATCGAACTGCTGAGACGCGATCCTTGGACCCATTGGATCAAATTGGTCCCTCCTTGCTCCGATGACTGCCCTGTTATTAGCTCCAATATCAGAACTCCAAGCTGAAACACTATGTTCCCACGTTCTTGTCCCATACATTCTGCACGCAAAGAAAAGATTAGGATCGATAAACAAACATCGGAACAGAAAGCAACTTTTGATAAACTCACAACTCACCTTCTGAACACGACGAATGAGGCATTTTAACATAAGTTCCAATGGAACTAAGAAGGCCAACATCAGTTAGCTGCAATAAAGAATGAATGATTGTTACTTTCATACTGGCATTTTAGTTTCAAATGCTAACATCAAAAGGGAATGAAAGTCGACCTTTGCCGTAAAGTTCTCGTCGAGCATGATGTTATTCGAGTTGATGGAGACATGATAAACCGGTGGATTACTAAATAGAAGCAAGTATTCCTGCCATACAGGGCATACTTTATGTTACTTACGCAACAAGGTAACCGAAAAGAAGAGTCCGGGCAGCTCAGCTAAGTTTGTGACTTACCAATGCTGCTGCCACACCAACTGCAATTTGTAATCTTGCTTTCCAATTCAAAGGAGTCTTGAGAGGATCTGTCAAGAGCCAATGTTCAAAAACCAAAACAAAGTCATTTTCAATTCTGCATAAATCATGCTTTATAGAGTTACCATTAAAATGCTCCTTTAAGCTTCCGTTTTCGATATTGTCGAACACTAATAACCTGCAAAGATGAAGCAAAGTTATGAAAAATCTTTATGCATATATAATGTCTTTAATGTAAAGCTACACAAACACACATGAATCGAGGAAGGGAATGAAAATGAAAGTTAAGACTTCAACCTCTTGTTCCCTGTGGAAAATCCCCGGAGCGCAAGAAGATGGCGATGATGCAACCGCCCCAAGAACTGCACTTCTCGATAGAAGTTTTCTTTTCCTTCGTCAAAAGCTCTTGCTTCTTTTACCAAAGCAACTTCACCGCCTTCGAATCTGGCCTTATATGCAGTCCCATGGGAATTGCTGTATACTATCCTATGGAAGCCATCGGTGGCCCTCTTTACATCTTTGTATGAGAACTTCTTCACAAACAAAATTGGTCCTGCAGATAAACAAAACAAAGGAGCTGATGCATCACCACAGTCGAAAATGCAACGCATAGAGGACCAATAAAGATGCTCTGATTTTCGAAGAAACAAGAGATCGATATAACCGTAGAACTTAAAGAGACCTTATAAGCGAAGGAATACAACTGAAATCTTGGTCTGATAATAAGATGATGCTCTCTAAAGGAAAATGAGAATGAAAAGGGGGCTTGTTTGTACATCTCAGAGCACTCTTACTCCCTTTGAAACTGGAAAATGGAAGCCTAATCATTTAGACAAGCAGATGTTGTGCAACTTGCAATGATACCATTATCTTACTTGTTATGAAGTTCCTTGATCTAATTACAGAACAATCAGACAGCATATATGATCAATATTTCTTACATGTACGCAGAAACAAAGATATGCTAACCAACACATTCAGAGAGACACAAGTATGACTATATTGTTGCAAGAACCAAGCAGTCTTAGTGACTAAGGGATGGTTGTTATCTCGGGATTTGTCTGCAGGTGTTTGACAGTTAATTGTCAAGTGATTTAGAATCTTTCAAACAGATAAATCAGAAAATTGAAAACTAATTGATTTATCATCCCAAGCACCATTGAAACTGATAATTCTTCACGATATTCAACTCTTCAAAAAACCAATCTTTTTATAGTCCTTCAAAACCTCCAAAACCAAAAAAGATGAACTTGTTCACAAGAACCCATCTTTAAACCAGAAAGTTCAAGCTAAACACGACCAATTTCCATTAAATTCATGAACAATTACAGAAGAAGAAGAAAAAACCATTTACCCAAACCAAAAAAGCTTTAACTTTCCCCAGAAAACAAAAAATAATTAATCTAAAAAGCATAACAGTAAACAGTCTTAACAGACAAAGTTTATGTTATTATGCAATAAAAAATGAAAAAAAGAGATTACCGGAGCGAGATCGGTGAAGCCAAGCAAGAAGACGAAATCTGAGTTTCCGGATCATAGGATCCATTCCAAAAACAACTCTGTGTTCTATCTGAAAACACCACTTTTGTTTGTTCCCTTCAATTATTAGCTTCTGCTATTGCAGCAGTCAAACCATAATTACTGGTTTTCATGTCTTTTTCTTTTGTATTATCGAGGATTCCATAATTAATAGAAAGGGTTTACAGTGGGTATTTAAAGTGGTGGAGTGGTCCTTTTATCAGTTAAAAACCCTTCACTGAAAAGTAGAAATTAAAGTAATCTGTCAAGAAACTGTAATTGTTTTATCAGTTTTAGTAATTTGCTAAATATAATTGTTAATTGTTCATTTAAGTTATGGTATCAAAGATGCTTTCCTTGATTTGTTTTGCTTATGTTTTTTTAATGATGTTTGTTGTTAAGTGTGAACATATTGCCTGTACGGTTTTATTTACTAGAAGTTTTGGGACTTTGGGATTTTGAAAAGCGTGAGTAATCGATTTAATTGAGTTGATTCGAGTTAAAATTTTTGAGTTAATTTAATTTATAAATCATATTTTTTATTTGAATTTTTTAGTTGAATTTATAAAATTATAGTTAAATTGAATCGAGTCTAATTAAATTTTTAAATTTTTGTTTAAATTTAATTATAAATATTTATAAATATAAATTGATTTAATTTAACAACTTTATTTAACTATATATATATATATATATATATATATATTTCATATTTTTTCACATTGAAATTAAATATTGATTTGGTATAAAAGAGTCAAAGTATTGACAAGAAAGAATTTGGAAAAAAAAAGTTACAATCACAAAATTAAATTAACTAAAATACAAATTTAAAGAATTAAATTACAAAAAAATATAAACTTATTATTAAAAATAAGAATTGAAAAGTTATATATATATATATATATATAACAGCTAAAAAACGGCGTGACATGTTAAACAAGTAACCGATTAAAATTTAAATTGATTATGTTATATCATTTAACCGAAAATATTATCAAGTACAATAATATATTAAGTAGCGTTTATATAATGTAATAGGTAGCGTTTATATTGACATATTTTCTAACTAAACAGGTATATTTAAACCGGTAACATTGTAAATTTACATATTACATTATAATTATCGGTTTTGATGTTTTTGGGAATGATACAATTTTAAATATATCGACACTTTATGCGTGCACCTCGTTGTGCTTTCATTTTGGGAAAAAAATATCGACACGTATTTAAAGAGTGTCGATACATAATGTAAACCTATTTGCTAATTAACCAATATATTTTACCGGTTACATTGTAAATTTACATGTTTCTGCCTTTTTGTTCTTTGAGAAACTGATAACATGGTGAGTTTCTCAATGTTATTCTTTTGTTACTGCAAAGTTTTTGTTCTTTTCTTACTGAGTTTTACTTAAAATATTTAACTTTTTGTATTAAAAAATAAAAATTCTGAAATAAAATGACCACACAAGCACACTTTTTTACTACCGGTTTTGTCATTTTGAGACCGATTTTGTCATATTTTTACCTGTTATATTGTTATGGATCGATACATTTTTATAAAGTATCGACACTTTATTGGCGCTATAACTTTTTTTTCTTTTAAATTCCAAAAGTATCGATACTTATAATAAAGTATCAACACTTTCAACATATATGATAGCTCTTTACCGGTTTTTTCATTTCGAGACCGATTTTGTCATATTTTTACATGTTATATTGTTATGGATCGATACATTTTTATAAAGTATTGACACTTTATTAGCGCTATAACTTCTTCTCTTTTAAATTCCAAAAGTGTCGATACTTATAATAAAGTATCGATACTATTAACATATCCGGTAGCGCTTTACCTGTTTTGTCATTTATAGACCGGTTTTGTCATTTTTTTTACATATTATATTGTTATGGATCGATACATTTTTATAAAGTATTGACACTTTCAATATATCCGGTAGCGCTTTACCTCTTTTGTCATTTATAGACCGGTTTTGTCATTTTTTTACCAGTTATATTGTTATGGATCGATACACTTTTATAAAGTATCGACACTTTCAATATATCCGGTAGCGCTTTACCTTTTTTGTCATTTTTTTACCTATTATATTGTTATGGATCGATACATTTTTATAAAGTATCGACACTTTCAATATGTCCAGTAGTGTTTTACCTGTTTTGTCATTTATAGACCGGTTTTGTCATTTTTTACCTGTTATATTGTTATGTATCAATATATTTTTATAAAGTATCGACACAAACCAACAAGCTAAGTTTGCCAATTACCAAAATTTTTAATATTTCTTCATGATTTCCACCTATTACATTATTATTACTCGATATTTCCGGTAGCGCTAAACCGAATTTATCAAATATATTTTAATGTATCCGGTAACGCCATATATTAGCCGTATATTAGTCGACCTTTCCTGAGACAATCTCATATATATATATATATATATACACACACACTATAATGATAGACAAGTACATGATACAAATTCAATCAAAAATATATTTAAAATGGAGGAGGAATTAGGAGTATGAAGAATTAGGGGTGAGTATTTGATCAATAGTTAAATTGAGTTAAAAATGCTAAATTAATCTAATTAACGAGTTATATTTTATAATTCAAACTTTATTTATTTTTTTAATCCGTTAAAATATATAAAGTTTGAGTTGGATCATTTTCTTTAAATCAAATTGAATTTTACTTAATCTTTTCTTCAAATTTTGATGAAAGGTTAGATGGCATTTATGAATTAAAGATACAATTATAATTATATTGAAAACAACATTAATTATAAAAACAACTCACAAATAATTAAGCATTATAAAAATCAAAACTCAATAACTTTTTTCTTATAAATATGAATGAATACAATATAGTATATAAAGGTGAGATAATTTTGACTCAACTCAAAAATTTTATCTTTTTATCTCGACTTGACTTGAAAAAAAAACTTACTCGAATCAACTTTGAGTTGTAATTTCATAAACGCGACTTGACTCAAAAAATTTCAAGTTCAAGTCGAGTTATAGAATACAACTCGAATGACTCAAAATTTTTAATAATTAGTTTATTGGTCATGAAAATATTAAAATGGAATCAAATAGTATCATATTGTTACAAATATTTACAATTAAATTTAAACAGAAACTTGAAAACTCAACTCGAGTCTACTAAACTCAAAATTTTCAAATCAAGTTTGGGTTATAAAATAGGACTCGTTGACTCGAAATTTTTTTACTCACTTGATCAAATGCTCACTCTTAGTGGTGCATGTTCAAAGACTCTCAACCATTTGACAATGAATACTCATACATCTAACATGTGCGATACTCATACTTAAACCTCAAAGATACCAACAAATCTTTTTACTATCGAAATCCCTTGGTTCGTTCAAAAATTATTATGTTCTATTAACTTTAACAACACCAAACTTACAAATAGCGAAGCAACATTGAAAGTATATGTTGAGTCAAACTAATTAATGGAATGACCAAGAGAGGGTGAATTGGCAATTTAAAAAATGATGGAAGCTTTTTGTAAGAAAATGAAAAATTGACACAAACAATTTTATGATGGTTCAACTTCTTCAATGAAGTCTACATCCGCTATCTTAGCTTCCACACTAAAGATTTCAACAAATCTACTAATTTTTCTAACATTTTAGGACAACGTGTAACTTACAATACACTTAGACTTATACCTCAAAGTCTCAAGTGCAAAACCCTTCCTAAAAAAAATACAAAGAAGCAAACTTTTGAATATCATCAAGATAAAATGTTTGCAAATTGAAACTCTCACACACCGAAGAACACTTAGGATGAAAAATACAATAAATAGAATCGTGTTCTATGTAAGAAAGACAAAATCGATTACAAATTTGGCTCTAAATGCTCTTTGATTGTTGGAATAGCTTTCTTCTCTTTCCTTGGTTGTTTGAAGACCCTTTTTATATGACTTCATTGATTTTTAGTTATTTTGGGGTTGTTGGAGGGAGTTTGGAACCATTTGAAGCATTAAATTCGCGCATTAATGGCTACCTGAACACAAAATTTTGAAGCTATGAGAAAAGTTTTGAAACTCTTCGAAAGAGGAATTGAAAAATATGACTGTTGGACACAAAGTATCAAAAAATTAATGAAAGTTTCAAAACTCTTGAGATAGTTTCGAAACTATAGGAAAGTATCGAAACTTTTTGGGCTTCTGTCTTGGAAAGTTTCGAAATTCTTGAAGAAGTTTCGAAACTTTTGATCAATGCTTGTCTAAAAAGTTAGTTTTTTTACATTTTTAGAAATATAAGACTTTGAAAATTATTCTAAAGTATTTAAAAGATATTTTGAACTTAAAAGACTCATTTTAAAGATTTGACAAAAATTTAGGGATTTAAAAATAATTTTACAAAAATTATTATAATTACTGTTATATTAAAATCATTTATGTTTATCAATCTCCCCTTTTTGATATAACAAAACATTTTTGTAAAAATTTTCTTGATTCAAAATTTGTCATAAAATTTTCAAATTATATATCATTCAAATTTTCATTTAACTCCCCCTTTGAAAAACAATTTAAGGCTATAAGCATTTTCAAAAATTTATATAAAAACGAAAACAAAAGCTAAAGATTTTAATTAAAAGTTATTTTTGATATTTTCTCCTTTTTTTGTCAGATCAAAATCATTTAGCTACACAAGAGAAGAAAATATTAGAGCATCATAAGCCAAGATAAGCATAATCCAACATATATCCAACATAATAGGCCAAAATATATCCATAAAAGAAATACTCAAAAATATCCGATATAAGCATAGATATGTAATCCAAAATATCCAACAAAATCAAAATATTCAACATAAGCAAATCATCCCAAAATATGAAAATAAAATCCAAGATAATCATAAATATCTAAATGCAATAATAGAAAAACCCAACAATCCTAAATGCAACATAAGGGGGAAAAATGTCAATCCTCATCATCATCATTAGCAACATCTTCATCATCATCATCCGGATTTGAAGAAGGTCCGGGAGAAAGATGAAGAACTGGGTGACGAGCCTCCAATACATGAAGATGAACAAACAAGTCATCAATATGGTGATGGATATCACCGAATTGATAAACCATGTAATTGTAAATCATCTC